CCCCAAAACCCCAAAACCCCAAAACCCCAAAACCCCAAAAAATCTTACAAAGACTGAATTCTAGTTGTTAGCGATAAATGGATGTTCCAAGGCTGCACTAGGTGAAATCCTTTTCTTTGGGTTAAACTCTAACAAACTTCTGAGTAGATCTAAGAAATCCAGATCAGACTGTAATCCACAAGTATCATACTTCTTCAGTGACGCTTGGAGATCTTTCATAAGAAACTGCTTCTGCTTCAGATAAATCTTGCCACAATCTCTACCTTGGACACCAAAGATTCCTTTTCCAAAGATCTGCTTACCTTTCTTAGTCTTGGTTCTTCACTTAAGACTCATCCAAATAGGGAAACCAGTGATTATCTCCAGCAAGAGAGCTCCGATAGACCACATGTCATAACTCCATACCTTCATTGATTGAAGAATCTCAGATACTTTAGACTTCTGCTTCTGTTTTCCCTTGTTTTCGAGATATGAGAGAACCTCTGGAGCGAGGTACTCTGGAGTACTAAGCGAGAGCCCTTTGGCCTCCTCGAATACAAATGCTGACCCGAAATCTATAAGTTTTACATCTGTGATCTCCTCATTTTGGTAAGTTACCAAGATATTATCTGATTTTACATCAGCATGGATAACTCCACTGAGTTGTAGGAGGTCGAAAGCTTCGAAGAGTTTCACCAGAAGCTGCTTCAATACAGACTTTTTACCCTTGATTGCATGGTACAGGTCTAGATGGTTGATGAAATAGATCCTTTCACTTTTGTAAAACTCTCCTTTTACTTTGAAAATTGAGTCAGTAAAGGAAGTGCCACCAACTTCATAGAGCAAGAAAATGTCCTTTTTGTCTTCCATTCTCTCTATTAGATGAGAGATAGACCCATGACCAGGATGGTCACTAAATTCAGAAGAGTTGAGTTGTTTAAAAATTTTGACTTCAGTCTGAGCAGTGGTGTAGCTTTCTTGATTCTTAGGGAACTGCTTTAGGGCATATTTCGCTTCTGTATTAACATCCTTGACTAGCCACACAAGAGCGCACCCTCCTTTACCAAGGAGTCTTACTCTCTGGTATCCTTCTGGTCAGCGATTACCATAGATCTTCTTCTCGTGATCAGTAAGGGAGCATTGTATAGATTTCTTTGACTTTGCTGTTGAAGGTTTACTCATCCTTTTCCTCTCCTCACCAATTTTCTCAGAAGGCTTCTTAATTTTGGATTTATTCCTCTTGCTAGTATAGGAAATATGTGATTTGAATTCATTCACAGGCATTATTGGGGTATCCATTGATTTCTTTTTACTCTTCTTACAAGCTGAGTCAATGTTGACTGTGGATGTAGGGACTAATGGGTCTTTCTTGACCATACTAGGATCCTTTACACCACTCAACTTCCTTCTTTGAATACTATTAGACGCTTTTCTTTTTAAAGGAGTTTTAGAGATCTCTACAGCATCTTTAATATCTCGAAAATCCTCTGTGTTGAGAACAAGATCAACATGAGGAATGTTCGGATTTATAAGTTTAGATTTACGATTCGACTTCTGACAAGGAGAATCGTGGAACATTAGGCTCGGCCTTCCCTTTGATTTGAACATATTACTAGAAGTACTATGCAATTTCTTCTCTAAATCAGGACTTTCATGAGAATCAGCATGGTTATGCTTTATGATTGAAGGCAGATGGTTCATATTCCCTCCATCCACATTCTTGCATGATTTCAAATTCTTCATTGCCCTTACTTTATCATCAGAGCGAGAAATCGCCTCAATAAATTTCGAGGAGGATTCTGGGAGATTCAATTTTTGGGGTGAGAATTTCATGACATTAGAAGAAAAGTCTTTTTGTACCTTTGGAGGGTTAAAATTTGTAAAAGTATCTTCTCTCTGGTCTCTTGCTCTTAGCTTATTCTTTATTTTATCAATTCTTTTGTCGATTCTGGTGATTGAGTGGCATATAAATTTATTCGATTTTATCTTTTCGTCCTCTGTCTGAATGCCATAAGCTATTAGAGACTTCCTTTTGTTGTATTTTGATTTATACCGCTTTACTGAAAGATTAGCATTATTAGTATCTTTCTGATTCTTTGTAGTTTTAGTGCCATTTTGGAGAATATCTGCATGGCTTTTCATCCTAAAATATGATTCTTCTTGCTTACTTTTTGCCGTCAGTGTGGTTACCAGTATTGAAAAGTTCACCAACGTGATTGCGACCATTTTTGCTAGGCAACTTATCTATCTCTAAACCTCATAGCATTTAATACTTTACCGAAATTTTCTTTAAGATCATGCATCTTATGCAAAGTCTCTTGATCTAATGTGGATTTCATCATTTTCGATTGGTCGTCTTCTCCTTTGACACTACTCGCAACTGACTTTTTAGCCTCGTGCCCCACGGAAGGACGACTAGAGAAACTTTTGTCTTTGCCAATTTTATTTTCTTCTCGGTTTAGTTATGATTTTACTAATGTTCTTGATCTTATGCTCCTTCAGAGAAACATCATTAGAGATACTTAAGTCTGTTATAGTATTGGTATTCGAAAGAATGGAGTTGCTATAAATCAAATAAGGAAGAGACTTACTTAGCCTTTCTCTTGCTGCTCTCTCTTACACGATTCGTATGATCCTGCATATACAACTGCAATTTGTTCTGACTATAAAACTTCTCGCTGTATTTAGACGGGCTGCCATAAATTTTATGAATTCCATTTTTATAATTATTGCCAATTCTATTACTAGTAGCACCTGCTTTGAACTTAGCAGCAAATCTTGGCGCTGGGACTGTATTCTGGAACTCATTAGACTGATTCAGCATCTCTTTCCTTGTGTACAAAGAGGAAACTGCTTGACTTTGCGGTTGCTTATTATCATTCGATCCCAAATCCTGCAAATTAACCTGTGCTTTTATAATATTCTTGATGCCATGGTGCGAAATCTATACATTAGTGTCAAACAGGAGGTAATATTACTCTTTTGTCCATACTAAACTTCTTCTTTAGAGAATGTATTCTCTCTATAACCGTCCCTTGCATTTTTATTCGAATAATTTATCAACTGATTTATGAGGAGTTGGGGTTTTGGGGTTTTGGGGTTTTGGGGTTTTGGGG